CTGCTTTCTTCAGGTATGTTTTTCGATGGACGGTCATGCAAATCTATTAAGAGCACAGAGGATTGTTCTGCTTGGAGGGGAGGACTGGTTGTTGCTTCTTGGGGTTGTATCTTATCCTCCATTGCCGACATGCATTTAGCATTAGATATTGAGAGATCCATATGATCTGGTTCTTCTAGAGAGACATATTCACTGTACGTGTGTATTCTGGTGTTGAGCTTCCTAATAAGTTGGGATTTAAGCGATTCCAGTCTTTTAATAATTTCTTTTTGTAACCCATGTGTCTTTATTCAACTTAGGGGGGGGAGGCCTTGGGGGTCTTGACACGCAACTTAAGGCTGTCTTATAATGAAACTTGTGTCTCACTAAAGAGCTTGTGGTACAAAAAAAATTTGTGAAAGATTTGGATCAAAATTCCTATGACTACAGGGAAGATTATTTGAATTCAAGAATCAGACAACAATATATAGTAGGACAGCTATATCTCAGTGGTAGAGCAATTGCTTTGTATGACAAAAGCCCCAGATTCAACCTGCCGCATCTCCAAGTTCATCTGGAAAACACCCCTGTTTTAAACCCTGGAAAGGTTTAAAACAGTGCTGAGACAGTGCTGAGCTGGATAGACTAGCGGTTTTACTCTTTGTAAGGCAGATTCCTATTTTCCTATATCTGTTCCTGCTTAATTCTCTCTGTGGATTCAGACAACTGCTTAAAAGTGAACTATGTGGTGGCTCCAAATATATAGAAAGCCAGGCATCTATACCTTACGGCCATGCAGTAAGCCCAGAATAATTAGTCTCCTGCCCGGAACATCAGCTTCTAGACATTCATGGTGGGAAAGACTGTAGAAGAGTCTATGTATGTGAGCTTTAAAAAAAAAAAAGACAAAAGGGAAAAAAAGATTGCACAGCTGGGTTAAACATGTCAGATTCATTCATTTCTAACAGCTTGGGATATGTCCTGGAATATTTCCAGCCCCATGTTTCAGGCCCCATTCATGTAGTGGTGGATAGAAAATGACCAGAGTTTCCAACCAGAGTTTTCACAAGGCCAGCTGATGAGCAACAAATTGCCTTCCATTTGTGTTTCCCCTGAGGCCTTTTGGATGTGCTGTATTATTATTATTTTTATATAATATAGTAGTTGTCAAAGTTAAGAGGCCTGATTAAGGCTGAAGTCCTATGCATACTTATCTAGCAGCAAGTCTACTATAATTGGTTGGATTTAAACAAGCATAGAACTAGGTGGTAAGGCAATATCCAGCAGATCACAATTCTTTCATAAATTACAGGGTAATTTCTCTATTAGTCTGAACACAATCCAGCCAAGGTTTAAGGAAAAGTGGTGGGCAGGAAAAGCAATAGATGTGGGAAAGATATGTTATTCCTCCTTGCTACTTCTTGCTCCTAATCACTTGTTCCTGTTTGGTTCTTGTTACGCACATGTGCATTTAACATTTAGCTCCACCCTTCTTCCAAATTAATATTGTGGAATAAGTCACACAACTTCTTTGATATATGCTGGATTCTATAAAAAGCAACTTAATTATTTCACTTCTGTTTAGTCTGTATCTAAATACATCTTGGAGGTTATATTCATGATTGATCCACTATAGGTTAATAATTAATGTTCCCTAAAGTACATTAAGTGACAGTGGATGACCTTGGCATAATTGATATGCTTTAATTGTTTTGTCGTCATCTACTACTTCTACTGTAGATTTTTCTTAAGCAGTGCACAATGATAGACTGAGTTTTAAAAAGTAATGTTAAATGAGGCTTATTCCATCCAAAGATACATAAAATCAATTAACAGAGTGTTTCAGAATATCAAGAAGTCCATCTGTAGTCTCTAAAGATTGAGTGCTAACATTCCAAAGTCTACATATGCAGGATGCATATATTCACATCGATTATTATAACTTTTATCTGATATCCTTGATAATGTATGTATTGAAGCTGACACTTTATGCAATCTCTGTGTGGTTGGGGGATCAGCTGTTAAAGTAGTGGTTCTGTCACCTTACATGAGCTGCTGTTAAGGCTGACTGTGAAAGAAGTCTGTGAATGTAACCACATATCTCTCTTTTGAATAGATCCAGGACCTCAGTTTTAAAGTCCAAGGTGTAACATCTCTTGGGTCTATGATTTACTTACAGATGTGAAAAAAACTGACCTATGCACTGCTTACTTGAACTGAATGTGGCACAGAGTGAATGTTTTTACATACACAATAAATTATGTGTAGGGTTGAGATCTTTTACAAATGTTAATTTGACAGCATAATCCTTGCAGCAAACATTTTAAATAAATATTATCAGTACTGTTTCAGAAAACGTTCTTACTTTCTTAGCTCATAATCAATGTGTCTTCCTTCTATTTCATATTTACAACAGCAGAACTGGAATGTTTTTATTGCTTTCCATCTGCTGTATAGGTTGATAATCATGTAACTGAATCTCTTTCTGTTGTCATGTAGTAAGCACATTTGTTTCCATATTCATTTGCCCTCTTTAAATTGCTTAGGGCATTTGCCCTATAACCATATGTTAACAAAATTGATCTGCAACTGGATTTTATCATAGCTAATGGGACAAATACAGTATTTGTTCTGTCCATGCTGATCACTGCAGCTACTGCTTTATATTTATATTTTCTGAATGTTTCTTCTTTCCCTGAAGAAGAGACTATTCCTTTAATATATAGATCAGGGATGGGGAATTAGATCCAGCTGTACAGTTGAATCCAGAAGTAGCCAACCTGCTGTAGACCACTTTGACAGGTGGGCGGAGGGCACCTTTCAATCACCAGAGAACATATAACATCAGATTACTTAAACTTTAAACTATATCTGTAGAGAAATTTGAAGTTCAGTGTGCTTAGTCAGCAGCTTTTGAAAGTGGTCAGATACACATGAGAGCAAACAGGAGCTCCCAAGGGTATTTTGTTCTATCACTCCTGAAAGTGGTGTGGCAGGGTAATATTCCTTTGCAGTTGTGGCTTGAATTCAGCACAGTTTGAAATTATGTCTTTACCTGTCTTGTTCCTGATGTCATATGATGGACTGGTGGGCATGGCTTGGAATAAGCAGCCAAGTGGGCCAAATGGGGGAGCCTAATGGGGCCAAATTGGAGAAGACCTCTTTGTTCAAGAGGTTAATAAACTACCTAAGTAATTAAAATAAATTCTGTGGGTCTTATTCATTGTGGGTCTGCTAGAAGCCAGTATAAGAAATTATCACTAGCATAACACAACTTCCTCCCTCTCTTCCCCCTACCCAGTGTTTCCCTGCACCATCCCCAAATCTGCTTTGGAGAGTCAGGACATCATGCAGAGGAGAGGGCTGATGGTTTCCTTGGGCAAGCAGAAATATTTGTGCTGACAGAGCTATCTCTGCAGATACATTGAATACAGCTTTTAACTAATTAGGCCCATGGGCCAGAAGTTCGCTACAACTGATCTAGATATACAGAAATCATGAGTTGAGTTCCTTCTCCCAGAAATGTTGACTGTCCTTCACGAAGGCCATGCTTGGCAGTGAACTAAACCCTTTCCCCCACGCAACCCACATGGTTTGTTCATCTAGACCTTGAGTAGCTCCCCGCACCCTCAGCGGATGAGCATGCTGAAAATTGGCCAACCTCCTGAGGGCTGCATATTGGTGATGGCTGTGGTCAAAGTGGCAAACACATGTTTTGCTGTGTAAACATACATACATACTCTCCAGAACATACATACAGACCCTCACACGCACTATACATTCTGACAGATGCAGAAACAGACACTGAGAAACACCAAAAATGCAAGTTCATATTCAGCAGTGCTCTCTCACTGTGTGTGTGTCTCCATGGAGTTGGAAAAAGCCCTCTTCTTACCCTACCAATCCACTCTTCTTCTTCTGGTGTGGTGCCATCAGAAGGAGGTCCTTTTCTTGAGGCTTTTTGCAAGACCATCTTGCAATAGTTCCAGAGGGAAAATAGAGGCTTTTCCAAAGTAAGAAGAGTTGCCAAGTTTTGAAGAGGGGCTAGTGGGCTGACAGATACCTTATTCAGATGATCTTTAATGTTACCTGAATTTACCTTTCAACTTTTGCTTGCTTTTACTGTTTCCGATTTAGTGTTCCATAAGTTAAATTGTACCTTTATTACAATATTATTTTAGAAATACAAGCTATAAACGGTGATCCTGCTTGACAAAACCATTTGTCAAAGGAAATGCTGCTGCATCGTACAAAGTGCTAGATTGTACAAATGCTAAATCTTTCTATTTTTAAACTGCCACTTGACCTTACTTGCCAGGAGTTTTCTATATATGTTAGCCATATAGGAATCAAATGAGCTGCTGCTTTGATAGACTGTTGAGAGTCTCTTGAAGGGCTGAGTTTTATGTTCCCCACATATTCAAAGAAACTCTGAACCCTTTAGAGAACAAGCTGGTTCTGCTGAGGTTAGCTGACCTTGCCTAGCTTGAGTTTAAATCTACCAGCATCATATGACATGGCCTAGTTGCAGATAATAAATGCTTAAATCATTCTGTTTAAATGTACAATCACTCTTTTAGCCATCTTAACAATTTTCCCTTTAGGATATAATATTATTGTTTATGTTAAATTGGTTATAGGGTAGAACTTGTCAGTTTTGTTCTGACTTACTTTCTGCTGCAGACAGCACCAGCTTTATGGTCCTGAAAATCTGTTAATTTGTGTGTTCGTTATTGATGGAATTTAACGTTTGGATTTCACAAATACCTATGCAAGTGGAATATTCTAGTCCTGCTCTACTGATTATCACCAATCTCATTCCCCCCAAAAATCACAAGGGTCCATTAGTGACGAATATAACTTGTTTGCCCACAGGGCAGCTGGAGGCTATCCACAGAGCTCTTCCAGGCTGTTCATTTGGCTGGTAGTTGATATTACCAGAACAAAGTGGATTTGTGTCAAAATTTATGTGCTTAATTTCCAGCAAATTAAAGAACTTGCATTGATTTTATGTACAGGCTACCGAAAGTGAGATGGGAGATGTAGATCTAACTGGTCTCCCAGAAGCACCAGTTGATTCTGAAGACGATGAAGAAGAAGATGAAGACATTGACAGAACTTCAGATCCACTGCTGGGGAGAGATGTTGTACGGGAATGCCTTGAAAAGGAACCTGCTGACAAAACAGATGATGACATTGGTGAGACGTAAAAAGAAAGAAAGTACTTCTACATAGTTTCAACAGATCATCCCTAATAATCTAGTAATTTGAAAGTTAATGACAAACTGATATAGTAGTGTATTTTACAGACACATGCCAATCCTTATGTAGCCAAAGTGGCACCATTGACATATATGAGAGAGATAGTAGCAGGCTTGGGAGAACCCTAAGGTTTGCAGAGGTACATTTCAAAACAAAACAAAAGAATGACCCCCTCCCACAAAAGAGCCCCAGCTGTTTTGGTTGACATTTGGAGAGGGAGAGAATGGAACTGAGAATCCTTGAAGAGAGCGTGTCTGTCTGGCTAAAACTCTGAACTGAAGCAGTTCACAATGCAACATTTTGTTGCAGGTCTCACTTACCGTATTTTTCGCCTCATAGGACGCACCGGCCCATAGGACGCACCTAGTTTTTTTGGGGGGAAATAAAGAAAAAAAAATTTATTTCCCCCCCAGGTGCGGGGCTGGGGCAGGGGAAGCCCGAGCTTCCCCTGCCCCCAGAACAGGCTGCTATCTGCAAGCCGTGGGAGAGCTGCGCGAAGTTGCGCAGCTCTCCCACGGCTAGCGGAGCGCTGCGCGAAGCCCGAAGCTTGGGGCGGGCTGAGCTCAGCGCGCCCCAAGTTTCTGGGTGCCGGCAAGCTCTCCGCTAGCCGTGGGAGAGCTGCGTGACTTCGCGCGGCTCTCCCACGGCTAGCGGAGCGCTGCGCGAAGCCTGAAGCTTAGGGCGTGCTGAGCTCAGCGTGCCCCAAGCTTCTGGGTGCAGGCAAGCTCTCCGCTAGCCGTCGGAGAGCTGCGTCTCCCACGGCTAGCGGATAGCTTCCTGAAGCCTGGAGAGCAAGAGGGGTCGGTGCGCACCGACCCCCCTCGCTCTCCAGGCTTCAGCGAAAGCCTGCATTCGTCCCATAGGACGCACACACATTTCCCCTTCATTTTTGGAGGGGAAAAAGTGCGTCCTATAGGAAGAAAAATACGGTATCTATTTACACACATTCCCTTTGTCTTTATCTATAGCTAACCTCATATATTGCATAAAATATATAGACTGTGTGTGAATGTATAAGCAGGGGAAGCAACCACCCACTAAATGTTATCAATTCCTATGCATATAGGACCCAAGCATCTTGCTGCACTTCCAAGTGTGCAGATTGGGCCATTCTAACACTGGACTGGTATTTCTTACTTTCCTCCTTGTGTACTATTAACATGGGGTTGGATCCAAATAATTATGAGTAATAGAACAATAGTTGCTGACATAGTTTTGCAAAGTCTTTCACAAGAGTTTGCATAATGCTAAAATAGCTCTATAGCAGTTCTCATGCTTCTGCTTTCATAATAAGTTTCACTTTTTCTCATTCAAAAGTCCCATTTTTGAGTAGAAGATGCCTTTGCATGCTGAAGGTCCTCTTTGATTCCAACTCATTGTAACCACTCTTATTAACTAACATAAATTGATGAGTGACACAAATACAGATTGAAATCCATTTTTGATATATTAAATACTACCAACCTGCATGGTAGTGAAACCTAAGTAAATGTTGCCTTGCTTTGTTTCTAACATATATTTATTTTTGTTCTTATAGAACAATTACTGGAATTCATGCACCAGCTTCCAGCATTTGCAAACATGACTATGTCTGTAAGGAGAGAACTCTGCTCAGTGATGATATTTGAAGTTGTAGAACAAGCAGGAGCCATCATTCTTAATGATGGGCAAGAAGTAAGTACTGAATAATGCATGCCGTGATCATGTTGCTATGTGATCATCAAACACTTATAATATATATTTTTTTACCATGGAGATAAGGGTGAAATGTTTTCAGTTTTACAGCATATGTAGCAGTTCATAACTCCCCAGTGTTATTGCATATTATCAAAAGCTCCAAAAACATTTCACAGGGGGTTTTTATGACCTACTGTTAGCTTATTTCAAATGTCAAACCATGTTTCTATCCCTTAGATATAGGCCTGGTTTGTACATCATGGTAACGCAAACTATGGCTTAGTGAATCTTTGCAAACGTGGGCTCCCAGAGAGGTGATTGCAGCTGTTTTGTTCCTCCCTGGCCTTTTTTATTCCTGGATCACAATGATTTGGATCTGGGCTCATGGTTAAGTTTTCTTCTCACTGGCCATGAGTTTGTAACTAAGGTGTGCCATGTGAACCAAGCCATAGTTTCTCAAATGCATCTGATGAATGTTTTGAACTCAAGCAACAATACCACATCCTGAATCTTGCATTAGAATGACAATCCTAATTAAGGATTTCTGTCTGAATATCTCATTCATCTCTGTGTTTCTTCATGATCTGGTCATGGAAGATGGGTACCGGTTGTTAACATTACTACAGTGGTGCCTCGCAAGACGAAATTAATTCGTTCCGCAAGTTTTTTCTTCTTGCGAGTTTTTCGTCTTGCGAAGCACGGTTTCCCATAGGAATGCATTGAAAATCAATCAATGCGTTCCTATGGAAACCGACTTCAGACCAGGTCCGGGGACAGTCTGTCCCCCGACCTCTTCTGAAGGCTGGGGGGGGGCAAGGGCTTTTCTTCTCACCCCCAGCATTTAAAAAAACCCCGGGACAGCGGAGACTTCTCCGCTGTCCGGGGCAATCTTAAAATGCTGGCGGGCGGCAGCGAAGCCTCCGCTGCTGCCCGCCAGCATTTTAAAAAACCCCGGGACAGCGGAGGACTTCTCCGCTGTCCGGGGCGATCTTAAAATGTTGGCGGGCGGCAGCGAAGCCTCCGCTGCCGCCCGTCAGCATTTTAAAAAACCCGCGGACAGCAGAGGACTTCTCCGCTGTCCGAGGCAATCTTCAAATGCTGGCGGGCGGCAGCGAAGCCTCCGCTGCCGCCCGCCAGCATTTTAAAAAACCCCGGGACAGCGGAGGACTTCTCCGCTGTCCGGGGCGATTTAAAAGCCCCCGGGAAGGCAGGCAGGGGGGAGCAAAGACTTTTGCCCCCCGCCGGCCTTCGGAAGAGGTCCTGGACCTCTTCTGAAGGCCGACGGGGGGCAAAAGTCTTTGCTCCCCCCCCCGCCTGCCTTCAAAAGCCGTCTGGGATAGCGGAGAAACGAAGGTTGGCGACGGGAGGAGGTCTCTCCGCCCGCCGCCAGCCTTCGGAGGAGGTCCGAGGACAGTGGGGAAGACGCGCTGCGCTTCCCCGCTTTCCCGGAGATTTCCCTATGGGCTTTCGTCTTGCGAAGGAAGCCCATAGGGAAATTCGTTTTGCGAAGCGCCTCCAAAACGGAAAACCCTTTCATCTAGCGGGTTTTCCGTCTTGCGAGGCGTTCGTCTTGCGGGGCACCACTGTACTAAATTAATCATTTTTATTGTTACCCCAACGGTTATATTGCTGTTGCAGAGGCATACTAAGCATCCAGTGAGCCTTCTGTTTAGCTTATTGTTGATACAGTTGGATGCTTAAGATAATTGAAATGCTTTTATTGGGTTTTCTTTCTAGCTTGATTCTTGGTATGTTATTTTAAATGGCACTGTGGAAATCAGCCATCGAGATGGGAAAACGGAAAGTCTCTGTATGGGAAATAGTTTTGGAATTACTCCCTCTCTGGAAAAGCAATATATGAATGGTGTAGTTCGGACCAAAGTAGATGACTGCCAGGTAAGATAACTTCATAGTAAAACATTCTTCCATTTTCTCATTAAAATTCTATTTAATTAATCATCCCAGAAATAAAATAGTGCAATTTTGGCTAATGGTAATCACTTACAGCTTTCTTGCTCACAGCATAGGTTATTCAGCAAACAAGAACTACTGCTTTCCCTACTTATATATCAAAGTCTGCCGAAACGGGCTCAGGACAATTTTACTTTTTGAATTCAAGTTCTCATCTAGACTTCTTATCTATATGTATCAGTTGTAGTAATCTCTGAAGGTATTACAAAAATAAATAAATTATGAGGTTGAACAAGATGGAAACAGATTGATTTCTAATTACATTTTGCCATAATTATGTTATATGTGTCTAGGCTTGACTGATGCATTTAAAAAAAACAAAAACTGTTTGCTTGTGTATTTATACCCCTCTGTTATTTTGGATAGTTTGTATGTATAGCCCAGCAGGATTATTGGAGAATTCTGAACCATGTTGAAAAAAATACACACAAGGTTGAAGAAGAAGGAGAAATTGTTATGGTGAAAGAGCACAGAGAGCTGGACCGCAGTGGAACCAGGAAAGGACACATTGTCATTAAGGTGATCAAAAACATAATCTTACAAAGAAGTTGTTTTATTATATAGCATTTTTCAGTTTCATAACAAAGTGATCTAGTTTCTCATCTTCATCGAAGTTCTCTTGTTATGCAGTCAAATGGCTATATATTGTGGAAATAATATGCCTCTGGGCAATTAGACATCACTCAACAATATAGTCTTTACAGACATAGATCCAAGTTGTAATGCTGTATTGGTATGCAGGAAGTATTATGAAAATAAATGTGTGTCTAGGATGAAAGTTAGGAATTGGATTTATGAATATGGCTGGGTGGTGATATTACAAAATGGTATGTTGTTTTTGTGGAATTATTTTATTAACTGTCATCTCTTGTTTTTAAGGCAACACCTGAACGCCTGATTACACATTTAATAGAAGAACATTCTATTGTGGATCCAACATACATTGAAGACTTTCTCTTAACATACAGAACATTTTTGGCAAGCCCCCTGGAAGTTGGGGATAAACTGTTGGAATGGTTTCAAGTAGACAGTCTCAGGGACAAGGTTAGTTTCTAGATGAGAGAGAACCAAACCCTGATTGGTAATTTTCTTGTACTGGTAATAAGAAGAGCCTGCTGTATCAGGTCGGTGGCCTATCCAGGCCAGCACCAAGTTCTCACAGTGGCCAACTGGATGCTTGTGTGTAGCCCACACAACTGGCATTCAGATGCAGAGCATAGCTCTTATGGCTAGTATCCATTGATAGTCTCCTCCTCCTCCTTGAATTTGTCCAGTCCTCTTTAAAGCCCCCAAGTTGGTGGTTATTACTGCCCCACCCCCGTGGGGGTGAGTTCCATATTTTAACTATGTTCAATACCCTGAATCTTTCAACATTCAGGTTCAGGTGTTATGGCAGAGGGAGAAAAGCTTCTCTATCCACGTTCTTCATGCTGTGCATGATTTTATAAACATCTATTGTATTACCTCTTGCTTGCCTTTTTTTCTATTTTAAGAAGTCCCAAATGCTGTAACCATAAGGGAGCTGCCCCATCTCCTTGATCATTTTGGTTAACTATTTCTGAACTTTCCGCCCTAACTGTACAATATCCTTTTTGAGGTGAGGCAGCCAGAACTGTACCTAGTATTCCAAATGTGGTCTCAACATAGATTTGTGTAATGGCATTGTGACATTGACAGTTTTATTTATGGTTCCTTTCCTAAGGATCCATGTCATAGAATTTGCCGTCTTCACAGCTGCCTCACAGTGGGTCACTCTTCTTTATGAAGTCTTATCTGAACTTCTTGGTGTGGTGACTTACAGTACTGTGAAACACAGAGAACTTAGAAATCATCTGAAAAATAATGTATTCACTATATAAAAATTGTAGTAATAATAAAGCATGTACAATGTTTTAAATTCGGAGAATGCTGAGAACAGGCAATATTCCTAAATATTTTTGGGCTTGCACTTGGTAGAAGTTTTCATTGCCTAATAAAAGCCTCTGCCATCATATACCAGAGCTGGGGGATGGGGAAAACATGCGAGAAATAAACTCATTTATGATTCAGATATTTATGCTGTATTTTGAATTTTTATTCTTGCTTCATATTTATGCCTAGGTATTTCAATTCACACCCATGAACCAGTCACTGTTTTAATTTTCAGCTAAGAGATATCCCAAGTAAAATGATTATCGCTAAAAAAAATATAGTCATAATTAGTATGACCTCAGAAGTTGTGTATCATTATACGTTTACACATATAAAGGCATTGCCCTCAGAACAGGAAGTAACATTTTATGCGGTTAGAGAACTTGGATAGATCTCTTTGAAAAACATTTTTGTTTTAAACTGACAAGGTATCTGACAGACTGCCAGTTGTGCAGTAATTTTATAGCCCAATTGGCTACTTTGTCAAAAAAATGAAGATGGAAATTCTAGCTTTATTAGTGTAAGTTTCATAGAAGCAGCCGTTGCAAATGACAAATATTTTGCAAGGGCAGCAACTTTGAAATATTGATTCATAAGAAAACCACGGAAGAGAGATAGTACTCCAGGTGTTGAGTTGTAGGCCTGTTCTCTATGGTAACAAATATAGTCATATTATTTTTTAAAAAAAATGTATAAAAGCATAGACAAATTGGCTCATAGTGTGGAAAGGTATATAGTTGGTTCAAAAGCTACTTGACTGGTTGTTAGTGTCAAAACTATATTAAGAATAGCAACCTAATTTCCTCTTACAAACGAAACTTGTATTAACTTCACATATGTACTTGTTTTTAGGTTACCCGAGTTGTACTATTGTGGGTGAACAACCATTTTAATGATTTTGAGGGAGATCCAGCCATGACACGTTTTTTGGAAGAATTTGAAAAAAACTTGGAAAATGCGGTAGGAACCTAAATAAATTGAGTTTTGTGCTGCATCATGCATTTTTAAAAGCAGCTCTTACTATAGCAAAAACATTTGTAGAAGGTTTTTTTATATTTATTTATTTATTAGATTTTTATTGATACAGCAAGAAAAGAAAAAAGTGTAAACACAAATACCGAATTACACAAACAAACAATAAAACATAAATTGGTCTTAACACTAAAGACCCGACCTCCCATCTATTCCTTATTTCAATTTCCTATTACTTATTGCCAATACACACTTTTATCATAATTTAACTTTTTCTTAATATATCTTAATTCTTATATCTACATTGCAACTATTACTGAAGTTCCTCGAATGCTGCAACCATTTTTAGAAGGTTTTAACTGAGCACTGCAAATTTCTTTCAAAGGGCTTTTTATTATAGACATAATACAGATAATGCTGTTTCATGGCACAGTTATGGCAAATAATGGGTTGGTGTGATTAGGTGGTGAGGTAGTTCTGTGTAATTTTACCATTACATGATTTGGTGTCACCTAATTCTAGATGGGAGATATTCATGTGTTTTACAATTTACAGAAAATGAAGGGGCACCTCAGATTACTAAACATTGCCTGTGCAGCCAAGGCAAAATGGAGACAAATCACATTGCAGAAGCCTTCTAGAGACTCCCCACTTTTCTTCAGCCTCCTTGGAGGAAGTGAAAAATGTTTTGGTATTTTTGTGGAGACAGTAGAACCAGGAAGCAAAGCAGCAGAAGCTGGGCTTAAACGCGGTGATCAGGTAAAGTAAAACCCGGTGTTTCATTTACAATCATATATCTGCTTTGGTTAAGTGAAGTATATTCAACCAAAGAAATTGACTTCAGATATTTGTTGTGTTGGGCTGGTTTAGAGATCTCGGCTAAAACCACACTTTTCATACCACATCCCTCTCATGTTCCTTGGTTTGTTTAATGATGGTTTGACCTGTTTTCTAAATTAATAGTTTTGCCTCCATAACGTGATGAGAAATTTATATTGTGAAAAAACAAATTATTTTCAGGATTGGTTATGGTAGTCAAATGGAAATGTAACATTTGAAAGTGAGAGACAAACATATGTAAACAGTCTAAGCAGGAGAGCAATTCTTTCTGCCATGATGTTTTGTAAAAATGCTGCTTTTGTAACTTCTGAGGCATTAAATAAGGCTGGTTTCAAAACATATTTTTAGAACTGAGCTGAATTTCAAAAAAAGTGGATTAAGATTCCATGTTGGTAATACTCCATCTTTCTTTATAACAAAATTCTCTTTTCCTGCATTATTTTAAAGGTAATGGAAGTAAATGGCCAAAACTTTGAGAATATTACATTTGCAAAAGCCACTGAAATCTTGAGAAACAATACTCATCTTTCCATCACTGTAAAAACAAATATTTTTGGTGAGTACCGTTGTATAAGCCATATAAATGATATCGCTTAGAGACATTGGCCAAAGAACTACTTTGAAAGTTTTCGTGAGTTCATGAGGTTTTTGAAAGTTATTTCCTTTAAAATCTAAGAACTGTATGCATACACACCCATTACATTCCCAAGCTGCTTTTGAAGCTCCCACCCACCCAGTTTTAAATTTCTTTTATACACCAAAGGGATGGTGGAGGAAGGTGCTGGTTAAGAAATACAGTAAGCCTGCCACTTACATGCATTTAACTTGTGTGCATCCAGTAGGCGTGTGGCAAAAAAAGAAGGAAAGGAAAGGAAAGGAAAGGAAAGGAAAGGAAAGGAAAGGAAAGGAAAGAAAAGGGGGGCAGAGCTCTGCAAAAAACAGCTTTAGCAGCCTCATTTGCCATTGAAACTAATGTGCTTTGGCTGTACTCAATTTTGGCTTTATGTGCAACCCCCACAACATAACTCTTGCATAAATTGCAGGCTTACTGTATGCTCAAATCACTCTTGGTGCACAGGACTAGTTACAGTTTTAGGACACTGTCCTTATCTTAAAGGTCTATACAAAATCCTGAATTTTGTCTACTGTGGCACTTCAAAAGTGATGACCTACATCTAGAAGTGACAGGCCATACAGTAAAGCTTCACATTTTAGTCCAACAGAAAATTTCCTAAGGGTGTTTGAACTTCTCTCTATAGGTGGTAACTATTACTTCCGCTTCTTTTGGACCTGATTCTCCCTTCTCTCCCCTTCTATTTTGTCACAATCTTTATCCAAGTACAGTGGTACCTCGGGTTAAGAACTTAATTCGTTCTGGAGGTCCATTCTTAACCTGAAACTGTTCTTAACCTGAGGTACCACTTTAGCTAATGGGCCTCCCGCTGCCGCCGTGCCGCCAGCATGCGATTTCTATTCTCATCCTGAGGTAAAGTTCTTAACCCAAGGTACTATTTCTGGGTTAGCGGAGTCTGTAACCTGAAGTGTATGTAGCCCGAGGTACCACTGTATGCTTTTCATATGTTTGATATCAACATAGAAGTCAAAATGTGTCACGTGTGCAAGCCACCTTCAAGGGAAAAAATTGTAATAGCGAAATATAGTTGACGTGATCATTGTGTTCTTCCTGCCCCCTCTGTTGCAGCCTTTGGAAAGCCTACTCCTGTAAGTCAGGGTATCCTTCGCAGTAGCATGGGATATGGTGCTGGAAATTGCTCTGGGAAGGACTAATCAGTGAAATATTGACACCCCCTGAATGAGTAGAAACCATAGTGAGATGAGATATATGAGATGTTTCTACAAAATGAATTGGTCTAAGTTTATTTTTTCAATTGTGCAGCTATGTAGATAGACAGATCCATCTATTGATGGATTCCAAGTTTCTTTTGTCGGCTTCAAGGTGCTTGCCTTGTTTGTTGCTTATGAAAAGCAGGAGTTTTATTTGCTGATTTAATGGATTTGTGTTTAACTCTTTCCCCCATATTCTATATTATCCAAAGCACCACCCAGACCCTACTGCTATATTTTAATCTCTTATTCAAATCTACACATATGTCATATAGCACAACTTGATTTTACATAGCTTGAGCTGTCCAAGAAGCAAAAACGTGAACGATCAATACTTAATTGCTTGTAGCATTTGCAGCAGGGAAAAAACATTTGAACTATAAATTATATGGTAAATGTAGTCTTAACTCTGCAACCTCAGATGCACAATAGAGGGAGCCTCTTAGATAAGTTAAGCCACATCTTTCATATTACTGTAGTCTGCTCTTACTCTGGTTTTCACACTAAAATAATTTTTAGGAGATAATGGCTGGGATCCAAGGGATCTTTTGCATCACATTCTCGCACACTCTTTGAAACATCATCCCTGAAGGTTGAGGATATTTTAGAGCCGCATTCTGTGAGGTGCAAGAGACTGCAAATCAGAATGGAAAGTTCAGCCTTTGCTTTTTTCTCAACCTCTTTGGATCCTGGCCAGTATTTGATTACTAGTTATAAGTAATATATTTGAAGAAAGATATTGGATTAGGGCTGTATTGAAAAGTCTTTTAGGATAAAATGTTGTTGTCATGTATGAGAATTCATTGTGAAAACTATGTTGAAGCAACCAAAACCAGCAACAAACCTTGCTACTTAAGTCGGGGGAATAGACAAGGAAGGGTGAAGAGCAGAGGAACTAAGGTCAGGTTCTGTCTAAATATGATAGGCTGCCTTAGTGGTCAACAGAATTACAAACCAGGTTTACCTGGGGATATTTGCTCTTCTTCAGATTGGCCTAGATTTAGCATGGCACCACATGCAGACTGGCTCCCAGGTGGTTCAGCTTAGAGATGGCTATTCATTGATTTGTTATACATCATACATACCTCAAACTGACATTGACCAATCTACGTCTAAAAGCTTTTAGACGTAGATTGTGTATGGAGAAATATGATGATATCAGGAATGCATTTATAAAAATTATAAAACCTGTTAATAATTTTCTACTTGTTAGAATAACCATACTACTTATATAACCATATGATGTATTGTACCACAGTTTCAAGCACATTTTTCTTTTCTTTTGACTTTTCTCCACCTTTTCTCCACTTCATTTTCCTACTAAAATAATATTTCTCTATTGAAAATTTATGTTGTCAATAAAACAACTTTTTTTAAAAAAAACCTGACTTTGGCTCATACCAAAGCTTCTATAGAGTTTTGAATCCTAATGTTCTGTTTCATTTTATGCATCTTAAGCTGTGCTCTCTCAAGGTAATATATATGCTTTAGGATTTTGACCATTTGCTGCAGGTTTGGATCCTTAAAAGCAAAATTATGATAGAATGGAACACATTTTTAAATGTTCCTTTTTAGGATTTAGCATAATCCTAATAATAAACAATAATAATACTGGGTGAATGAATGTGTAACGTTTTGACTTTCTTTCTACAGTGTTCAAAGAGCTGCTTAGCAGGATAGGGCAGGAGAAGAATGGAGTTCCTCATATTCCAAAAATTGCAGAAAAGAAGAATAATCGCTATTCCATCCCAGATATTCCTGGAGATGTGGAACAGATGTTTCCGCGCGAGAAAGGAAACAAGAAAATAAAAGCAAACACTGTGTCTGGTGGAAGAAACAGAATAAAGAAAATTTTAGACAAGACGCGATTCAGCATCTTACCTCCGAAATTGTTCAGGTATGATAAAATACTTTCTCATAAAACTAGGATTTTTCTACAACCCTTTCTATAAGTAGACAAGAAAAGACTATATTTCCTTCTTTCAGTTTCCTTCCTTTAAAGCTGCAGGCTGTGACAATCCTCTCTTTTCCTTGCGGTGCACTAGGGAAGGCAAGTGGTATATGCCTTGATCTATGCTGCCTAATCCAAAGCTCCACAACTAAAAGTCTTTTCTGTTCATTTCAGCACCAAAGGCACTTCGACACAAGGGCTGTTTCCTTCTCTGTGCCCTATTCCTAGGCTAAGTTTTTGAGTACATCCCAATAGCCTTTTGCGGGAAGGCTCTTCCACTATTAGTGAATGGAGAATATCTGTTGGTTGGATTTGAGTATATTTATAATTTAAAAACTGCCCCAGAGCTTCCAGTTCCTTCTCACTCTCTGATTTCAAGCCACTCTCCTTTATGAAAAGCAAAAGCAAAGTAAAGTAAAGGTAAAGGTAAAGGTAAAGGTACCCCTGCCCGTATGGGCCAGTCTTGACAGACTCTAGGGTTGTGCGCCCATCTCACTCAAGAGGTCGGGGGCCAGTGCTGTCCGGAGACACTTCCGGGTCACGTGGCCAGCGTGACATCGCTGCTCTGGCGAGCCAGAGCCACACACGGAAATGCCGTTTACCTTCCCGCTAGAAAGCTATTTATCTACTTGCACTTTGACGTGCTTTCGAACTGCTAGGTTGACAGGCGCTGGGACCGAGCAACGGGAGCGCACCCCGCCGCGGGGATTCGAACCGCCGACCTTTTGATCGGCAAGTCCTAGGCGCTGAGGCTTTTACCCACAGCGCCACCCGCGTTCCCAAAAAGCAAAGTAGTCATTGCTTATTTCTCTCTTGTTGTTTAATCTCCCTTTATTTGCATACAGTCTTTTTTTTTTTTTTTGCTAACTATAAATTGTATAAATTTGCGGACTTCCGGTTCCGGTCGCAACCAGTGAGGAAGCACGGAGAGCTCGCTCCGAGTTTTCTGGGCTCTGCGGAGGCTTGGGGGAAGACGCGAGGGCGTTGCGCACCCCAAAAACCTTAAGGGGGGTACCCTTAGGGGATAGGTACCCAGCAGCGTGGAAGTGGCTGTGCCGTCTCTCGGAGCCGACTGGGTGTGAAGACGAGAGGACGAAGGGCCGCCAGCGCGTTTTGGGAAAGTACCGACTCTGCAGGGTGACGCCCTGAGCTTCGGCTGGTAAAAGCGGCGGGCCTCCTCAAGACAAGAACGGGGCCCTCGGCGTTTCTTTTATCGTTTTTTTTTTATAAAACGTACTTTTAAAAGCGCAAGGCCAGTGGCGAAGTCGGGAGGTGCCTGGCTGTTTTTTGATTTGTGTTTGGGAGTTCACTCGGTCGCGGATTTATGATGGTGCAGAGGGAAAGTCGACGGTATGAGGAAGTCCTGGAAAGTCTGCTTGAGTGAGTGCGACTTAGATTGAGGACTGAGAACTATTGGACTATAATGATTTAAGAACTTATAAAACATTAGTGGATATTGAGGACTAACCGAAATTTGGTGAGTTTAGTTTACTTTGTCTGTTTGTTTTTTGTGTTGTTGTCCATGCCGACTAAGCCGCTCTTTGCTTTTATGCGGCGCAAGCAGTTTTGCGCTTCTATGTTATACAGGCTACCCCATGTTCTTATAGCTTACAATTAAGGCTTTGGATGCTCCCTTTGCCTCCCCTGGAAGGAATGGAGAGTGTGTGTTGAGGCGGCAGTAAAAATTACAGCTAAGAAGAGAGAGAAAGGATTAAAGTGAGAGGACCTGAAAGACCTTAAAGACTTCTCTTTTGCCGCCCTCTCCTGTTTCTCTCCCGCCTTCCCTTTCTCTTTTTGAGAGGACCTCCTCGGTGGTTGGATTCGGGCCACGGGGATTTAAAGTAGAGGCTGCGTGGCTTTTGGATTAGCTCGACGCAGTTTAGAAAGAATTGTGTATACCTCCACGATTTGGACTCTGACTGTAGTATGTAATATGTAGTATGTAGAAAAGAAACCTTTAATTGGACCAAATTGGACAATACGTCATTAAGGCCTGATTACGGGCAGTTAACTTTCATTGCTCCTGGGACTTAAGATTGGCGGAGGCACTTGGCTCGGCGAGAGTGAAGTGAGAGAGAAAACCAAGACATTTGGTGGTGTTTTTCCCCGCCTCCCCCCGCTGGTACTCTCTTCTGGATTTACCACAGATTTTTCGCTTTGGGGTGTTTGGGGGTCACGCTTGGAGACGACGCCTGGATACCGTTACGAAAGGACTGGTCAAACTTGTTTGGAACCCCGCCCTGTTTCTGCTTATAACTGTTGGTAGTGGGGGGTTTTAAAGGGGAAGGAAATCTGTGGTGAAGGGATTTTGGAGGGGAAGAGACTTGAATATGACGGGAAAGGATGGAAAGGACTGGAAGAAAGGGGGCGGGACTCCAGGGGAAAGGAAGCCGTCCCGTCAGGAAGAAATTAAAGACCTAGACAATCTATGGGCCAAAATAAAGGAGGAATTTAAGCTAAATGTATTATATATGGAAAACAAACTAGGGGAGGTGCAGGAGAGGATTGATAAAAAGATAGAAGGAGCAGTGGGAGAACTCTCAATTAAAATTCAAGACCTCTCTGTTAAGTCCAAGCTGATTGAAGAATCCAATAAAAGGATGCAGAAAGAGATGAGGGAACAAAAGAAAGAGACAATGAAGGTAAAAGAAGAGTTAAGAGAGCTAAGCAACTCACAAGAAAGGATCTGGGATAACCTAGCCATGGCAGAAATGAGGCAAAAACAGCTCCATTTGAAATTTAGGGGAGTACCAGAGGAAAGAAACGAGGATATAAGAGGGAAAATGATTAAAGAACTCTCCAACTGGCTAGGTTTAAGTGAGGAAGAGATGGCATTGACAATAGAAAATGTTTTCAGGATGACAAGGCCTAAACATTTAAAAACTAACAAATTCTTGGGGGATTGTTTGGTAATCTTTAACTCTCTGGAAATGAAAAACTTAATTTTAAAAAAGAGTTACCATAACAGACTAAGAATTGATGGAAGACCTATTATTATATACAAAGAAATACCAGTCAGGTTACTACGTAAAAGAGAGGGATATAAACAAGTGGTAGCCGTCCTGAAGAGAAATGGGATTCAATTTAGATGGGAGTTCCCTGAGGGGATTGCTTTCTTTTATAAAGATAAAAAATTTAGATTGATGGACATACAGGAGGTGGAGAAATTCTTGAGAAGATATGAAAAAGATCTGGGAAAGGCAGAGAATAGGCACGGGACTAGAGAGGAGGAGGCGGAGGGGGAGACAGGGAGCGGACAGGAGGGGTGGGGGGGAAGGAGGAGAGGGTAGTGGAAACAGATGAGGAAGATGACGAGGCCGTAGTGGGAGTTGAGACGGCAGAGGAGGGGGAGCTTTCAGGAAACAAAGGCGGCAGAGTATAGCTCGGAACCCCGGTCAGAGGCACAGTAACTGAAAAAGGAAAACAATAACACACGCATTAAAGTTTTTATCATGGAATGTGAATGGGTTGAATGAAAAAGTGAAAAGGAATAAAATTGAGAAAGTTTTGAAAAATAAGAACTATGACGTAATCTGCTTTCAGGAAACTCACATTGCTAAGAAACATAAACATATTTTGGTGAATAAAAAACTGGGAGTAGAGTTTATTAATTCCGAGGTAAATAAAAAAAAGGGAGTTGTGATATATGTTAAAGAGAAGTGGGAGCCCGTACAGATCTGTAAAGACGAGGAAGGAAGAATCCTAGGGGTTCAATTAAATTTCCGGGGGGAAAAATTAATGTGGTGACCGTTTATGCCCCGAACACTAACAGAGCAGAATTTTTTGAGAAACTCGAACATATTTTATTAGAACTAGATGCGCAGAAATTAATTTTGCTCGGGGATATGAATGGAGTCCCAGCACCGGATATGGACAGGAGTGAAAAGAAGGGGAAATCGAATAGGGGAAAACTGCCGAAATCCTTTAATGATATGGAGGAAAATTTAGATTTAACTGACATTTGGAGGCACAAAAATCCCACTATTAAGCAGTTTACTCATTATTCTGAACCCCATCAGAGCTGGGGAAGAATCGACCAGATCTGGTTGACAAGAGCACTCTCGTTGAGAGTAAAGAGATGTGAAATTCAACCTAGGACACTTTCTGATCATTGTGCCCTAGTTATGGAAATAAAAAATGAAGTAAAGGGACAGTATAGGTGGAGGATGAAAGAGAGTTTACTCGAAAACGATGAGGTGAAAGAAAAAGTAAAAAATACTCTGAAGGAATACCTGGAGCTAAATTTGAATAAGGAGGCCACCATTGATATTGTTTGGGACGCCAGTAAAGCGGTCTTAAGGGGACTTTTAATACAGCAAAATAATTATAGGAGGAAATTAAGGGAACAAAGAAAAGAGGAGATCCTCAATAAACTGAGAATCTGTGAGAGAAAATTGATTATAAACCCGAAAGATGAGGAGACTATCCGAGCCTCTAAAGTGTTGCAGTCTCAATATTCAGCGATACTAAATCAAGATATAGAATGGACAATTAAATTTATGAAGCAGAGGTATTTTGAATCCGCGAATAAAATGGGGAAGCTACTCGCGTGGCAGCTAAGAAAAAGAAAGAAACAAAATGTGATAAATAAAATAATAATGGAGGATAACATCATAGAAGACCCAGATGAAATAGAAAAAAAGTTCATTCAATTTTTCGAAAAGTTGTATAAAAAAGGGGAGGAAGACAGCGTAGAAATTAAAAATTATTTGGATCAAGGTGGAAGGAAATATATAACAGAAGAGGATAGTGCACATTTGAACAAGGAGGTAACAATAAATGAGGTTAAGGAGGCTATTAGTAAGATGAAGAATGGAAAGGCCCCTGGGCCGGATGGTCTGTCCTCAAAATATTATAAAACGCTAGGGGAATACTTAGCGCCGGTGCTTAGAGATGTCATAAATAACATTCTTCAGGGAGGGAAGATTCCCGGATCCTGGAAAGAG